TGGGCAGGCAGGCAGGTGCTCATCCGAGAGTCTTGAGGGAGCGATCCGTCTGAATGAGGCTCACTAGCGAACTCAACACGCGGATGGGAAAAACCGGTGGCCGGAATGTAGGAAGCAGGTCTGCGGTGGTCAATATACATATATGTGCGGGTGTCGGACACGAAGTCCATCAAAGGGGGATATTTGATTTCCTCATTCCCTCCATATGGACAAGTCTCTGTGCGATGATTGTTGGAGGTATAGGACACGTCTCCGTATCCCCTACTGCTTGCGGGAAATCTAGAGCTGGGTGACGATCTATATATCAACAAGAGCTGATGAAGATCAAAACGTCGTTACGTACTAGTTGCCATTAATGGCCATGCGCGGATTTATAGACTGGATGGCAGATATGCCGGACCCGATGAAGGCATCAGTGTCAACTTCTGGGGAGGAATATCGTGCCGCTCGCTCTTGCGGGTGTGTGTAGGTGCGAGAGGATTCCAGAGAAGGCTGAGCGCCGGCCCGATTGGGGAAAGCTGGATGCCAATGGGCGCTGTCGATCCAAGGCTTAATAAAAAGTAGTAGTAATATCGCACGAGAACCCACGCAAGGGACTATTGTGAGGAACAAGATGGGTCATTGAGGCATGTATGTGCAGACGTCGTGAGGGATGCCCAGCCGGCGGGAGAGGCTGCAGTCGACGGGTCAACATACATTGGCGGTGTCATAGGCTCGGGCTCGGATGCGATTTCAAGGACAGATTGAACTTGGGCTTGGGGAGGAAGTGCTTTGAAAATACGCTTGCCAGTAGCTTTCTTTATATACTTCCAGCGAACCGGCAGCCACGAGCTGCGGCACACCCGCACACTCGAGATGCCTGTATCTAGCGCATGATTGTGCATGTTACTATCCACGAAAAGTGTTTTTTTCGGGCATCAGGAAGCCACAAGGTCATGTCGCACGTCCTCGTCCTCATCTACGGGGTTCGTGGGTGACCGCAGGAAATTGCTGCTCCAGGGACGGATACATTGAGTCCGATTTACTTAGTACAAACTGCACCTGAAAGTTTGATAGACTTCTCTGGGACCAACCATGTTGGTATGGATACAGGGGGTCTGCCAGGGAAGAGCAGCAGCAAAGAATACTTGAGTCAGCTACTCGCCTTGACATATGGGCCCACATCTTAGCAGCCCACGGGCTACCGGCGCATGCTCTGGCCAATCATAGCATCTCCTTGTGAGATAAATTCCAGCTCCGACTATTCGCGTCTTTTCCCTCGACCTTTTTACCTCTCTCATCTCCGCTCCAGAACTGTTTGCACAACTCTTTGTCCCGCGTGCGTGATGCCTTGACTCCGGCGCGGTTGATGCGCCCGAGGTGCACGTTGTGAGCGCAAGGCAAGTGGGCAAACAAAGGAGGATGCCAGCATGCCCGTGGCACGACGCATGCTTTGGTGGCGTCACCCAAGGTATTCTGCATCCCATTCAACTTTCTTCCGCAAAGTTCATTCTCTTCGCGTGTCTAGGGATCTGCATGCAGAACACGATGCTGGTGGTCCTGTATTTGACGACTTAGTTCCGGTCTGTGGGTTGAGTCTCGAAGAACTCGATGGCGACCTAGACGAGGATTACAGATGTGCGTTGTGCATTCTCCTCCTGCTCGTCATTATGGTATACATGGACGATACTGGTCTTGACAGACAGTCTCATGCGCGGTCCAAAATAGACCTTGCTCGCACTGCCCTCAGTATCTTCTGTGAGCTCTGATCTGCTTGTGGAGGAAAAACTTACCGAAGGCGACCAAAGTGAAGTCTGGATAGAGCTTGCTGTGCGTATTGCACTTACTGACATGTATCAAGTAGACATGTGGATTCTCGTCTTGCAAGATCGGTCTGTTTCGCTTCTTGTTTGGCGCGGCTTCATCTGTCTTCATGTGCCTATTGTGATTCTTGAAGGCGCAATGGGACGAATAAGATTCTGCTCATGCATGACTATTGGTCGAATCCGACTATTCACATTTTTGTCATATATCGTACAATGAAATCCTAAGTTCATCGAGTGTATAAACGTTCTAGATATATTCACCACTCACCACCGATGTTGATAAGCATTACGAGGTTGAGGCCTTCCACGACGCATACACCTTAAGATAAGTGATCGTAACCTGTGAAAGTTTATCTTTCGGCTTGGCACGAAGATGGATACCAGAAGCCGGAAGATGGAGCGGCGAAGCGTGGAAGTCTCATGGAAACTCCGAGGCTCAGCGAACTTGGCTGTATCTTCGGTCCATCTAAACAATGGCTATTATTCTGGAGGATGTCTGGTGTGAAGCATCGGCAGAACACCATTGGAATCACCTCATCAGACGTTCTGGGACGCTAATGGACGTTTCAAACATGCTTGACTTGGTGGGTGCAATGATTGGCCATCAGACTCAGACGACAAAAATATGTTCCATCAATGTCCTCGGCCTGTGTGTTTGATTAACTCACGAGCTGCCGCTCATATTGGTCCCGCTTGTGGATGTTTCTGCTGGGTCATCTGGCCCTTGACTATCGAGGCTGCAGAGGACTCTGACCTGTCCAGAAATAGATACGACTTGCAAGCTTGTGTATCAATGTTGCATACGATTTGGCGAAAACGTCATCCTTGTTGTCAAGCTGGCAGACTCACATGCAAATACAGGTGTAAGAATACCCCGTGGTAACACCGAATATTATGATGCCTAACACCCCGCTAAGGTGATTGTTTGCATATCCTGTGTTGAAGACAACCTCTGCAATGGCTTGTGTCATTGTCCTGAAAATACTTCAATGTTGTGTTGCTAATGTTAGGTGTGTCTGTCAGTTGTGAGACAATATATATCATACCTGTCAATGACTCCAGATGACTCCATGGGAAGTGTAATGTGTGTACCTGAAGCATCTGTCAACATAACATAAGTTGTAATGTTTTGAACTCACCAGATTGTGTGGACAATGGCTTGTGGGTGTTGTATCTGACCAAGGCAAGAAGATAATAAGTAACTGGGACATCAATTATGGCAGTATTACAGTCTAGTGACACTCCTTTTCACACCTAAGTGTATCATGACTGTCTGTGCCATTATCAGGCCAATCACTCACAAAACATATCTACATAGTTTCTTCTCTATCCCAATATATTTCTCATTTACTCTGATTTTGGGATTGGAGCATAAGGGATGTGTTTTTGGACCATCTTGTTTGACAACAATGATCTTGGATTTGGTGGTCTTTTTCACAGTGACAATCTGTGACTACTATTGTTAAGGGATCTAATGACTGAGGATCAGGAGTTTGACTTATGATTGTTACTGATACTTATACACATAAGGCTGACATGTTATACTGAGACTAGACTTGTGAACTGAGCCACTTTAACTAATAGTGGTTTGACAGTGTATACTGGTTGAAGCTGGGCTTCAGACTGAAACTTGAAATAGACAACTGAGTCTATTTACTGAAGACATCCCTATGAAGTGTACGTAGGGAACAAGAGGACAAAACTAAAGTATAACAGAGTAGCCAAGTAGTGCTCCTTAAATAGAGTAAGGGAGATAGAGTTTAATAAGTATAAAATGCTGAGTTGAATCAGTGATAAGTATGAAACAGTTTCACTGGGTTGTATCAGTGATGAAGATGAAACATGATATGAGTGAAATGCAATATGAGTGAAACATGATATGAGTGAAATGCAATATGAGTGAAACACAATATAAGTAAAATGTAATATAGATGAAACATGATAAAGGTGGAACACAATATATATGAAACAATGATGCAGGTGAAACGCACCAAGTAATGGGATCAGTTGTAGTAGTACAGGGTCAACAATGAATAGTAAGGAAGAAAAGAAAACCCCCCCTCAAAGCTGTAACAACTATGTTACTGATTGTGATAGTTTCCAATTATGGGCACTCTATGGTCATGCACCTGGCTGCATTTTTGCGCTGAAGGTGGCACATTACATTATGATCTAGGCCTATCTTGTGCATGCTTGATGTGCCATGTCACTTCTCATCATGTTCTGCCACACCATGTTCAACTTTCAGATAGATTGTATTATGGAGGGATGTACAATCCTCTGATCTTGCCCATTAGCAGATATAAAATGAGGAAAATGTGTTTAGAAGCTAGTAGTACAAAAGATCAATGCCAGATGTGTGTTGTACAACAAGTAGCACATCAACACAATTCATTACTCTTTGATTCCAGTGGATGTTGCTGGTTCATAGATTTATAGAGCTATAGCACCATCATTGATAGGTCTAATATTTGGTGTGTAGCTAGTGTCCATATATAGTAACTTTGTTACAGCTTCAAGGGGGGGTTTTCTTTTCTTCATTACTATTTGTCATTGACCCTGTACTATTACAACTGATCCCGTCACTTGGGGCGTTTCACCTGCATCATTGCTTCATATATATTGTGTTTCACCTTTATCATATTTCATCTACATCACGTTTGACTTATATCATGTTTTGTCTTTATCACTGATACAACCCAGTGAAACTGTTTCATACCTATCACTGATTTAACTCAGTGTTTCATACTTATTAAACTCTATCTCCCTTACTCTATTTAAAGAGCACTACTTGTGCTACTGTACTTTAGTTTTGTCCTCTTGTTCCCTATG